TCAAGTCTCTTAAGAGACTGAGTATTATTTTTAGTCTTCTTGCTTTTTTCTTAGAGCTGCAAGTCTTGTTTCCTATAACTGTTTGTGTATTTCTGTTGTTTTTTGTTTTTGTGTTTTTGTGTACAAAGGATCAGCAGAGAGAGTTCAAATTATAATAATATTAGATAGGCAAATATATATATACATATATATATACAGTATATACATATATATGTATACCTTATATATACAGCAGACTCCAAAATGAATTATCTATTTTGTATAGTGAATATTCTTTTGTATAACCTTGGTTTATTGCCCGTTTTATTGTTGCAGAAGTATGTAAAACAATCGATGTGCAGTTAATACCTGGATTGTTAAATTTTGTTTTTGGCGTTAAACAAAAATGATATAGTATATTGCAACCTGTAGAGTTATATGGGGATGAGTTAGTAGAAATAGGACAAATTTATCTAATAAATTTGTCCTATTTCTACTGACTCACCCCCATATATTAGTGTAATGACTGATTGTTTAGGTAGATCACCTAATATTTGCGATAGAAATAAATAATACCAAAATAAGCCATTATCAGTATATAGCTCAAAGCCAATAGGCTTTAATCTTATTAGTTCAGTTAGAACCTCTATTGAAGAGTGAAAGATTTGATATTTAGCCAAAGTATTGCTAGCTTCTTTAGTTTTTGGCAAATATGCTAGTAATACCTTTGCATCAGATTTGTTACAATGCCAAATAGAAATGTTGTCTAATGTTAAGTACACTGGATGTTTAGATGTTTTTCTCAATATATTACATATAGTGGCATCTGAATAAAATTAATAAAATTTTTGAATTATTATTAATTGATGCTTGAGTTCGACTCCACTAATTTCTATTATATTGCTCTTTATAGCATTGTTTTGACTCACTATTTTCTTTAGCAATAAACTCAGATAAATAATCGAAAATATAATGTTTAAAAATCTCAAGATTAGTTAAAAGCTTTTTAACAGCATCAAAAAGTGATTGGTGATGCAATGTATATTTTATATTGTTATATTTTATAATAGTTTTTGAATATAATATATGTGGAATGTTTATTGAATCAAGTAGCTTGTAATCTTGCTTGACGTTAGTAGGCAAGACTAGGATCCTGAAGAACTCTGACACAACTCAGATCTAAGTTTGTATAATATTAGCCAATTAGCATATAAAATAGGCTAAAATTTAAAATTTTTCTATATAAAAATGCAATGTTTGATGAATTTCTATGCAAAATTTCCTTTTTTAGTAACCTCTGAATTATATTAGAGTTCTTCAGAGTTTTGCAGAACTATATTTGGTTTCATTTTGTGATCATTGAACCATTTAATAAGTTTATTACCAATGCTATCTGATAAATGATGCTTTATTAAGGGTGTGCCATTTATTACAAAATATTTTTTACTTAGTAACCACTCCTATCTATGTATAGTGTTATCACCTCTAGCTTGATTCTGATTGGTCTGGTTAATTAATTATTAAAAAATTTTTTAATTTTTTTAAAATTTTTAACTTTTGATCTATTAGTCTGTTTTAGATAATTTAACTGTCAAAATATTTGTCTTGATGAGACGATTCTAATGAATATAAAATTACTAAAATCTAATCACAGGATCCCAAGATTGTTAAAATTATTTATACAAATTCATATATAATAAAATTAGTTTTACTATATATAAAATAGTAAAAAACCTTAGTGATCTCAGAATTTTGTAATTGGATTTTGATGATTTTAGATTCATTAGAATCATCTCATCAAGACAAACATTTTGATCATTAATCATCCAAATTGAACCAGTAGATCAAAAGTTATTTAATATTAAAGATTTATTATAATATATATATAATTTTTTTTTTTTTTTATTAACTAGCCTCTTTAGCATAGAGGTTTTTATTCAAATATAATGGGTAGAGAGCTCATAATGGAACCCCAATTACATTAGAGAGTACAACTAGCCATATATGTGCCTTTTGAGCACCTATTTAAGTAGGCCACGTATAGATAACTATATACTATAGGTTTTATACTAGCTGCCATACCTATAATCCAACTAGGAGATTATCTATTTAAACCCTCTATAATATATACTGCCTCCTTGTATTACCAGAACACTCCGTTATATTCGTCAGTCAAGAGTTTCGGATGTGTACTATAGCTTTAGGACTAATTTATCCTTAAGGCATTGTTGCTAGAGCTTTTTGTACCTATAATCTGGCTAATCTAGACTTTCAGTAACTTACGCCAAGTCCGAGAATAAGTACTTGCGAGCTGAAGCTACTACCATTACCTACTTCTGCCTTTGTAAAGTTCACTCAAACTCCAGCACCCACTTTATGAACTGTCTACCATTTCACCAGTCTCCAAATTCCAATTCATATAGCCTGAAAGGGCAGATCTTTTCTTTGGAATTCACCAATAGCCTGGTTGGTATGGTGTTTTGCTGAATGCCTTGGTCCCATCTAGTTTCTGAATCTTCGGTAATAATCCTTTGCTAGTATCGTCGAAGATCTGTGCTATCTCTCTACTCGGGACTTGCCAAGTGAGATTCTGTATGCTTCAGCTCTTGGATTTACACAAATGCTTCACTCAGGTTTTATGTAACTTTTGTATCACACTATAGTTCCATATTCTTCTAGTACAAGCTGGTATGATCAAAGCTACAGATCCAATAATCTATTAGATTATATACAGTCTGCCATAACACATTCTGTAACATTTGAATTTTATTGCCAGTAGGATTTGAACTCTTGTCCTGCCACTTAAGAGTATAACAACTTACCAACTTCACTAAGTCGCTACACTTTTATATATATAATTTATATATTATATATTTTGTATATTTGATTATATATTATATATTATATATATATGTATAATATAATCACTCTACTAGTATTCAGCTAGACCATATATCCATGGTAAAAATTACGTAATAAATGGCATGCCCCTTACTAATTTCATAAACTGTGAATATGCTGGGTGTAGAAACTTCAGTGGTTGATAAATAATAGTTTTATGTAAGTATTATACAGATCACACATCAATTATATTATCAGACCCTGCATAATAATTAAGTGGTTTATTCAACATCTATATGTATGTATATACATATATATATAGTTATATATTAATTTATATCTTTACTATAACGATAATAAAATAATATATTATAAGACGCAGAAGTTACACCAACTTCTATTTCTTCACCTACTATAAATGGCTATATAAAAGACCTCCCCATGGTAGTAGACCCCCCACTAATGTACCCGGGTCTATATCACAGGTTATTTATTTGGTTGAATGTAAAAGACCCGAGTCTTTAGTACCGGGGGTACTTTATATAGACAATTAAAATTAATTGTAAAATATATATTGATATATTCTAGGGCTATAATAGAACGTTTATTTTTAACTTGTTTTTGATAAGATTTCTTGCAAATAAATCTACATATCCTGTCATTAGTTTTAAAAGAATTGTATTTATTGATTATTTAAATTATTTAATATTCGATCTATAAATAAATTATACAACTTAAAAATTATTTATTTAAAACAATTTAGATAGTAACAGCAGTGTTTGTAAATTTATTATGAAGTTGTACTAAATCTTTGATATATTCGTGAGTTATTCAATTTACTTTTCTATATAAATTCTCTAAAATTTAATATTAAAAAGTCATAAAGACTTCCTCTATTTGCATATTAAAACGCTATCAAATATTCATTGCTAGTAGTGTTTTGTATTAGTTCATATATTTCAAGTTTACCACCTGTAAACCTATTTCTATATTATTTCTAGTCCCAATTATTTTCATATTCGACCATCTCATTTTCATAAAACAGATCCATTTCTTCATCTTCTTCATAATTTTCACTTATAGCTAAACTAGCACCTTGAATTAAATCGCTATCTTGAGTTGATTCATAAACATTTTCATTATTTTGACTTAGATCGTATGAACTTTCGCTATCTTGAGTTAAATCATAGATACTTTCATTATCTTGAGTTAAATCGTAGACATTTTCATTATCTTGAGCTAAATCATAGATGCTTTCATCGTCTTGTCGGGTTATAAATATTTTTATCTTTAATTAAATTAAGATGTTTATAAACAATTTATCTAATAACGAATATACTTACCAAAGTTATCTAAATCCAAACAATTTTTGTTGTTACGAACTAACTCTAAGTTTGTTAAATCAAACTATTTAAAGCATATTCATTAATTATAAACATACTTACTATCACTATTTGTGTTTAAATTTTCATGACTTCTACTATTATTTGTCTCTGAATTTTTAAATATATAATTTTCACATTTGTGTTGATTTTTTGAATTTTCCACCCTATCATAATCAAAAATTCTTTCGTCCTCTGATCCATCTTGTGAAACAGAAATACTACAACATTTGAATGATTGTATGATAAGATTAGTATCAACTTGATTCCATGCTGTATTTACCCAATTAGCTACTAAGTTATATGAAGGGCACTGAATGCAGCCTGAAGGAGTTAGTTGATGAATTTCATTTGCTATCTATTCGTTGTAACATTTACGATACTAAATAAATTAAATTTTTTAATATTAAATTAAAATTAAAAAATTTTTTTGCTTTATATTAATTAGAAATTTACATGTAAATTAGGGTTTAAAGTTAGAATTTTTAATAAAAGAGTATAAGCAAGTTTTATTCCGATTTCATTATGATTAATAATAAATTAAAATTCATATTGATATATACATTTTTATTAAAAACTCTAATTCTAAATCCTAATCGACTAAAAAAAAAAAAATAACCTAAAAGATTTTAAAATTTCATATTTTTTTTTTTATAATTCGGCAATCCTGCCTCTATTTATTTGAAATTAAGCTATTCAAGAATTATACATTTCTATACATTTCTATCTGTAGCTATTGCTAATCTAACCAAACTAGAGACTCACCCTCGGCTTACGCCCAGGTGCGACCTGCCTCAGTAGTCCTTGGCCTCCCTCCGGATCCTTAACTCACTAAGGATTTGATCCCTTCGGTCACAGGCTGGCGACTACCCGCCTTGTCAGTACTGCCAATTAGATCTGTTTTAACTTTACATCTTACCCATGAGGACCAATCTGGTTTTTTATCATCCCACACTAGGTTTTCCATGTTTTTGAATGCTACTGCTCTTGCCTCTTCTTTCTTCTTGTTTTTCTGACCCCCTGTTAGTACTTGATTTTCTTTATTTTTAACGTCTTCTTTTCTCCTTTTCTTCTTTTTCTTGTTGGCCTTTTTCGTCTTCTTATCCTTCTTCGAGATTCCTTCTCTTTTTTCCCACTCTATTTGTAACTCACATCTAAAGTTCTATATGTGTTAATATAAAGTGCATATAGTATCAAATAGTATGTTTATAAACATAATTATAAAGCTTAACAACCATACACAAAATATTTTTATTACAAACATGACTCAATCTGTTTCGAAATTTTTAAGTATTTGATATTCGTTAAGAGTTTCAATTTTTGCCGAAGATAGTGACTGGAATCCTAAATTCGTATTCGAATAACTCGAATTTATCATGATTGAAATCATGAACTTTTAATTCAATAGTCACTCACGATTTAAATATATTTAATTTAATTTACATCATGGTTCAATAAATTAATTTTGTGACTCGAATTATTTGAATAGCTCGAATAAAGTAATTAAAGATCATATGATTCGAATTCTCTTCTGAATTTGGTTTGTGAGTCATAATTTGAAACGAATCCATTCACTAGCCATTTCGCCTTTTCTAGTGTTTCTAGAATGTTTGTTTATCTTTCATCCTTCGCTGGGTTTATATTTCGTCTTTTTATCATTTGCGTAAAATGGCTTCGCCTAACAATTATATTTAAGACGAGATTGAAGCGTTTTATGTGTAGAGCAAAAATTTTTTGACTGTATTTATATGTTTTGCATACATAAGTGTGTTTTGTTAAATGCAAACATGTTAATTTAGCATTCAGCGTAAACTTTATTCCAATTGTAAAACGACCTACGTCGTTTCTAATTTGAGAATGACATTATTTAACGATTGACATCAATTGAGAAATAAGTTTGAACATATAGTAAGACAAGGCATAAATTGTTGATTTAAAAAACTTTTTTTTAATAATAAGCCACAAACGGATATGAAAACTAAATATTAAGCCTATCCTTTTTAATTATAAATACAACTCGAGCTCAATAAAGGTGTCAAATTATTATTTCATCTGATATTTATCTGATAATTCGTTCTGTTTAATATTATCGCAATGAAATTAAGTTACATCATTTTAGTTCTCATTATTGTTATTTTAAATGTTTACTTGACAATTGCAACTCCTACTGCCTTAAAAAAAAGGTAGATAATTTGATTTATTATTTTATAGTACAAAGTCGCCCTTGTTATAGTGATCTTCGAAATAAGTATAATGAAGTATAGTTTTCTCGATATAGTGAATTTACTAAAAATTAAATAATGGGCACTTGATATAACGAAGGAAATCATATGGCTCAATAATCTCACTATAATGAGTGTGACTTGTAGTTTATTTTTAAATATATACCAAAATTTATTTAACACATTTTCTATTGAAATTATTAGAATGTACGTATTTGTTTTTATTATGTACAGTACTAGAATATCATTCGATGGCATCCGAATTGTATTTATAACCTTAATACACATTTTGATCTTTTATTGGATTATTAGATGGTAAGCATAAGCTCATTATAATTGTTTCTAAATTATTATTGATTTATTGGTATGTAAGTTTAAGCTTTATTATATAATTTCATTTGATTTTAAGTTATACTATTTAAAACTTTATAATAAATAATTTCTTTTATTAGATTATTAGCGAGCAGTTATAAGCCTTAGTATATTTGTTATTTTTTAATGAACTAGTAGCTTTATTATATTTATTTTTAAAATTATTTGAGAATTTACGTGTTATTAGTCACAAATTTTGTTTATTAGAAATTCCCCCAACATATTAGTTATCTCTCCGGGATTTTTATTTGTTATTTCCTAATTTTAAAAATGTGGATGAAGACAAAAAAATGTGTTAGAAATTATTGACAACATAAATTCTCGTCATGTCGTCATATGACCCGATAAATAACACATTTATTCCCTGTGTAGCAAAATAATAGAAACATCTCTCCAGCGGCCCTATAATGCCACTGGAGAGATATTTCATTATTCCGCTGCCCCAGAGAATAAAAATATTCACCTAGTATAAACTTTACTATTTGTTTTTAAAAATTTCATTTGATTTTAAACGGTGCTGTTTATGATTATTTAATATATCTTTTATTTTATTATCTATTAACCTATTAGCGCGTAAGTATAAGTATATCATAGTTATTATAAAATTATTGTTAATTTTTTTTTATAATTTGTATTTGGCAAATCTTTTAACGCCTTTATCAAATTATTAGATTGTGAGTATAAGCATTTATAATTATTATTGATGATTTTAAATGCGTATCTGACAGACAAATATTTAACAAATTATTAGATAGTGAGTATAAGATTTCTTATATTTATATTTAATTTTAAATTATGCTATCTATAAATTTATAACATTTTTTAACGAATTATTAGCCAGTAAATATATTTATTACCAAAATTTTATTTGATTTTAAATTGTGTTATCTATAAATTTATAATACATACTTCTTATATTGAATTATTAGAGAGTAAGTATAAACTTAGTATATTTGTTTTTAAATTTTTTATTTGATAATTTTAAATGTTATTCATATTTTTATAATATATACAAAACTTTTATTAAATTATTAGACCGTAAGTATAAGTTTTATATTTTATTTTTTTATTTTATACTTTTAAAATTACGCTAGTAATAACCGCAACATACATTTTCTTGTTGAATTTTTAGTTGGTATGCATAAGCCTTAATATGTTTGCTTTTAATATTTATTTTATTTTAAATTATAACATTATAATGCATATTTTCCTTATTGAATTACAGTCAGACCTCGATATAATCACCAGTTTCGGAAACAAACATTTGGTGATTATAAACAAGTGTGACTATATAAAGGTCCAATTTTATATGTTTTATAATGTCTAGGACTAAAAAATAGTGTGATTATAACAAGGTTGTGACTATATCAAGAGTGACTATAATGAGGTCTGACTGTATTAGCTAGTAAGTATAAGCTTTATTGTGTAGATTTGTTTCTAAAAATTATCATTTGATAATTTAAAATGATATTATTTTTAACTTTATAATATGCACCTTCATTTATTGAATTATTAGCCTGTAAGTATAAACTGTTTAATATTTATTTTTATTGAAATACTAAAAAAAATACATTTAATAATATTTTAAATTATTAGCGAGTAAGTATAAACTTCTATTATATTTGATTTTTGATAATTTTAAATAATGTTATTTATAATTTATACATTTTTTTTTATCGGATTATTAGCAAGTACAAGCTTTTTTATATTTTCTGAATTTTGTTTGATAATTTTAGTTGATACTATTTATAATCATATATATCTTTTATTAAATTATTAGGGAGTAAGTGTTATTATAATTTTATTTTACTTTAAATTACACCATTAATAATTCTATAAAATTTTGTTTCTTGCAAATTGCTAGCTGGTATGAATAAGCTTTATAATTATGTTTATAAACATACTATTTGATACTATATGCACTTTATATTAACACATATAGAACTTTAGA